GCCTGCCAAAAGTTCTTCGCATCTTATCTACACCCCTACTAGGGTTCGATACCGGATTGTGAGTATCAGGGCAACGTTTAGCACTCCTCTGCGAGGGCATGAGTGTCACTGAGCGCAGGAAAGACAAGCTAGCCATCTCTCAACTCACATTTTTATATTTGCTTTTCTTTCGCATCTTGTTGCAACGTTAAAATATGCTGATGGGCCTGGATATTTGGTCTATTATTAGAGTGCCTAATGTAGTTCCGACTAGAATTACCAGAAAATATTTATATGATCTTGGAGCGGGAAACCTATTTTTGCTTTGAGGAGTTGGCAAGTTGGCTCTGATTTCTACTAATCTCCTGCATTATTTTTTATTTCCTATATAGAAAAAAATCCAGGGAAATGGGCTTTTTACTTAAATGTTCATTTTTACTTCTTCGATCATATTTGCTTCATTTTCGATAAAACCTTCTTTATCTTTATAGCCTAAAATTCCTTCTTCCAAGTCGGCCTAATTTTTGCTCGAAGTGTTCTAAATTGCCCAGCCTTGTGGTTGCTCATGACTAAATTATAACCATACTGTTGTTATGATCGTGTGTTAAAGATTGATTTGTTCAATGTTCATATGCAGGTCACTCTCGGCCCAGTGATGGGCTCCCAAGGAATTTTGCAAAACATTGCTTTTTTATATAACTGGCAGGCTGTGTATCTACTAGCTGTCATAGGCTCCACCTCTGCCTAGGTAGCAAATGGAAATATAAATCCCCTGATTTGATTTAGAACAACGACCTAGACTTGACCAAAGCAGTAGTAGCACTGGAACAAGTGCTGATACAAGACCCTCTATTTACTGTTTTTGTGTCTAGTTATTTCTCTTCGTTTATCTAATCCTGTATTCTTTTTTCTTGTGCCTTTAGTTGATTTATCTATACTCACATTTCATTAATATCCCATTTTTTTCAACTTTCTCTGTTTTTCGTTTATCTTTATCCCATTTTCAATCTCTTCTCTTCGGCATGCGCAAACAGTTGCTTATCGTTACGCCCTTTCACAGCCCCATGCGAGTGGTGCTTGTACCACCTCAAATGCCACGCCCGCTCCTTCACCTCCTCACCATTCGCCACTTTGTCTTGACCGACTTACGGCTGGACTGGCTACTGCTACTGGCTATGGTAGCAGCTACATTGCTGCTGAACAGGCAGCTATTGAGGTCGCACAACGAGAATTAGATGAGGAGGCCGGAGAACTTGAGGCGAGGATTCGAGCCCAGCAGCCGGGATCGCCTCAAGAGGAAGAGCTTTTAAGGCGATGGTTGCCCACAGTTAATAGGAAGAATGCGTTGATCCATAGAGAACGACAACTTTTTATTATGTGAGCTTAATTATTCTACCCTTTTGCTTTTTATTCTCTTTCTGGAAAAGCATGTTATAAATTAAACATGAAATCCAAATTACATGTTTAAAAATTATGGCATCAAATCAAACTTGCTTTTGTCTTC